GGAGAGAGAGGGAGAGAGAGAGAGAGAGAGAGAGAGAGAGAGAGAGATAGAGCGAGCGTGTGTGTGTGAGAGAGTGTGAGTGTGTGTGTTTTCTGATACCTTCAGTAATTTGGTGGCCAGTTTGAGGACATTGTTGACCAGAGTGAGTTCTTCTTTCTTATTTGGTTTCTTTTCCATTTTCAAGTACAAGTTAATCTGAAACAGAAACACATCAGATGAGACTCTGGGATGTTTGTGTGTCTTTACAGTATCGTGTGTGTTTGTACCTGTTCTGTGAGTAAGATGGAGGTGTTGCTGTATTTCTTGCTGGTTTCTGAGCCCAGCGTGACGAATCTCAGCAGGTACAGCGACAGCGAGGTGCACCAAATCACCAGCTCCCAGTTATAGTGAAACTCCAGAAACGTCTCATGCACGTGAAGCAGCTGCAGGAGAAACACTGCCATCAACACCGGAGTAAAACACGCTAGTCGAGATCTTTGTGCTGGAACAATCTGAACGCAAACGGAGTCAAACCCAGCGTCACAGACACCAGATTCCCCAAGATCTGATAGCCGATGCCTGGAGTGTAGAGATTGACCTGCGGGCGAGAGGAGGACGAGATCAGGGCTTCATGTAATCATGATTTAGCACACGCTTCTATCCAGAGATGTTCAATGGATTTCTATCAGTTCACTGCCTTCCTTCCTCTACTTCACACTCACCCTGTTCATTATCATGCCGCTGATTTCCAGCACAGACATGTCTGCTTTCTTGCATTCGTTTCCTTCCCACACGATGGCGCTGACGCGCTCCAGGCCCGGATTAGAGCTGTGGAGCCACGGCATGTGACCCTTCACCAGCAGCAGGCGACACACACACACACACAAACATCATTTACACACTTACTGCAACAAAACATCAGGGGCCAGTTGTTCAAAAAGTTGAATCTGGATCAGAATGATCTGGATTTGGAAATCTCATGTTTTGCTTTCCAGGATCAGGTAACCCATCTTACTTTAGTGCCGGTTTTTCAAAGCAAAATTGGATTGGATCACCCTGATCCAGATACACACTATTTCAGATTTCCAAATCTGGATTACTAGTGCTCTACGGAGCCCCTAAAGGGACAAGCTGATGGAAAAAAAAAGAGATGGGGAAAAAAAACCACTAACTACTTCTGACTGGTCCACCTCTGATGATTGTGCCAATGTAGGTTACAATCAGTGAGAAAAAAAACAACTTTTAATGGAATATTTGAGTTTGATATTGACAGCTATTTGGGGATTTAAGGGATATTACACTTTACAAATGTTGTACTTTTTGGATCAGTTTTATTACATTTTTGTTCCTGAAATCCACCCTTCTGCTGGGATAAGAATAACCCCGTTTTGGATCAAAAGTATCCCAATCTTACTAAAATGCTTAGAACAACACAAACTGAGGATTTAATCCAGATCAAAACCAAGATTGGATTTTGTGATCTAATCTGAATCAGAAAATTTTTTTTCCTCTTAAACAACCCATTTTCAAGATTTGATACAATCCAATGGACAAAATCCGATCAGATCACTATTGAACAACTGGCCCTAGCTCCACAAATCTGAACCAATGAGGCAGCAGCTGTGGATCTGCGATGCACCTGATGAAACGGGTCGTCTCTGAACTCTTTCTTAGAGGCAGAACAGGCTGCGGATCCGTCGGCGTCTGTTTCGCTGCTGCAGGAGGAGCGGCACTCGGCGCAGTGCAGGAAGTCCTCCCACAGAACATCCTCCGTCTCAGACTCGTGCCGCGCACTCTCAGAGTCCTGCGTCCGTGAGCTGGAGCACCGCGAGCTGCAGCTGGTGCCCGACTTCAGCGTCTCCTGCTGAGACCAAACCACACATGGAGCAGCCTGTGTTTGTGCTCCTACAGAAGCACTGATTGTGTGTGTATGTTCTACCTCAGCAGTGTAATGCTTCTTATAGTGGTGTGCTTTTCTGTTGCGCAGTGTGCAGTCGCTGTTCTTGCGCTCCACTCCTCTGCGGAGGGCACTGTAGTTCTCTGGGTCTTCTTCACTGGATGCTTCACCCGACATGTTCTCCACCACGCGAGGAACCGCAGCCTCAGACAGACACTGACACGCACAAAACACACGTCAGTCACGCCTACACGTGTCCGTGTGTGTGTGTGTGTGTGTGTGTGTGTGTGTGTGAGTGAGAGAGAGAGAGAGAGGCGTCTGCAGGTGTGTGTGTGTGTGTGTGAGAGAGAGAGAGAGAGAGAGAGAGAGAGAGTGAGTGTGTGTGTGTGTGTATTCTGCAGCTCTGATTCTATTGGACTTGAGTGCTGCCTTTGATACAATAGATCATGGGATTCTCCTAAAGCATTTATCACTTTTAGTTGGGATCCGTGGGACGGTTTTAAAGTGGTTCAAGTCTTCTCTTGCGAACAGAGTATTCTCGGTGAAGTATGGTGACTTTGTTTCATCTACAGCCTCTATTACCTGTGGGGTTCCTCAGGGTTCTGTTATTGGCCCTCTACTGTTTTCCTTGTACATGCTGCCTCTAGGCTCGATTTTTAATAAATACGGTATGTTTTACCATTTGTATGCCGATGATACACAACTTTATCTCCCTTTGAAACATGGAGAGAATTGTGGTTCAAATTTACTTTTGGCATGTCTGGAAGAGGTGAAGAGCTGGATGGCTCACAATTTGGTTCAGTTAAACCAAAGTAAAACAGATATTATGATTTTTGGCCCCACTAGAGGATGCCCAGACATAGCCACTTATTTATCCTTGGTCAGCCTACTGTCATGACCAAATAAGGAATTTAGGAGTTGTGTTCGATCCATATTTGAAATTCGACAAGCAGGTTAATGCTGTGGTTAAGAGTTGTATTTCCCAGATTAGGTCTCTTAAAACCTATTTTGTCAATGAAAGATTTAGAAAAGGTTATGTTACTCCACCCCAAAATGAAAATTTTGTCATTAATCACTTACCCCCATGCAAGCTTAAAGCATCATGGCAGAGCATTGAAGTCGACTAGTCGATTAGTCTGTGCAACCCCTAGTGTGTGTGTGTGTGTGTGTGTGAGTGAGTATGTGTGTGAGGGAGTGCGTGAGTGTGTGTGTGTGTACCTTGCCCGTGGGCGGCAGGATCAGCTGGTGTCTGTGGTGCTGGAGGCTCCAGTGCGTCTCGGAGCGCAGCAGGTCGCAGTGAGGCTCATGCAGCTGTAAACCCTCCTCGCTGCTTTTGCTGGTGATGCGTCCGTCCAGAGACACGTATCCATTGTCCGTCTCTGTAGACTTATCGATGGACAGCTTGGACTTTTTAGACCTGATGGGACAGCAAGGAAAAGAGCAGGTTCTACTAAAGGCTGTGCATTTGATCAAGCGATGTGTGGAAGCGCAGCTCTAGTCCTCTACAGCAAACGCTGATGGGAGCTTGTGAATCAGAAAGAGAACCGGTTTCTGGAGACAGTCACAACTGTGCTTCTGGGGAAAAAACTATTGAAACGGAGCAAATGGAATAAAATGGCTACAAAATCCCTTTATCTAGTGAGGAACCTCAAAGAGAGACTTAAAACTGCACTGCAGCGCGATGACGTGATTTCAGGAAAAGAAATGTTGTAGCCAAGAAGATTGTAAGAGGAGATGAGAAAGAGAAATACACACCCCTCTTTAAAGATACCATGCCAGAAATCTTTGAAGAAAGCCACGAGGCTGCGTGAGCCGGCAGACAGCGAGCCCTGCGGTGCCCCCTCCTGTGTGTTATCAGTAGTGCTAGAGCCGTCGCCTTCTCTATGAATGTCCAAATGAGCCGCTTTCCTCAACTTCCTTTAGCGAGAGACAGCAAAGTGCAGAAAACTTAGAAATCTTAAAACAGAGCGAACTTTGATTTCCAAAGTCAAGAGAAGCGAAAGGCCTGAAAGAGACGCAGACTCAGCGGAGATGATTCAACCGAACTCTAAAATGATTCATTTACATTGGAGCTTGTTAATCAAAATCCTTTGGATTTTAGATCCTTTAGAAAATGCATTTCTATTCATGCTTCTGGTATATGACTGATCATTTGTGCTTGTAATGGCATTTCTTTTTATGATGCTGACAATCGCCTAATAATGAAGACATTAGTGTCTGTCACAAGTGTGAATTTGATTTGGATCCATAAATCAAGAGAAAGCTTTTCATGAATTCAGCAGAATCATCTCGACGTGCTGACGCTTCCCCCGATTTCATCTGTAGTGTGTCGCTGTCAGTGAGACGGCTGAACTTCAGAAGAAACCAAACACACAGAAGAGCAGAGTCTGACCTGCGGCGTTTCCCGCTGCCGCCGCCGCCACTGGCTTTAGGAGTGTGTGTGGAGACGATCTGGCAGTGAACGGTTCCTAACAGCAGCATCAGCCAGATGGCTCCAAACACCTCGGTGACGGGGACGCTGTGAGGACTGGAGATGCTGAAAAACAACACGGCCGCCAGCACTGCAACACAAAACACACGCCGATGACATGAGGATCACTTCTCCACTCATGAGTGACAGGAAAAAACACACATAATCCAGTGCAGCTAATCATAGAAATGTCCATCGTTAGGACAGTAAAATAAACTCAGCTGTTAAAAGGCAGGAGAAAATGATTGAAAAAGCCAAAGACAGCGTGTTCAATCAAACTCTATAAGTTAAATTAAACTTCAAATTAAAGCTTCACTTTCAGCCATGACGAACATGGATTATTTTAAGGAGAGATTTGTTACACAATTATTACACACACTCCCTGTTCTTTTTAGTAACCTGTAAAAACAAAAGCATCTGAACTATTTGCACACGTCTCTGACAAGAAAAACAACTACAGTGACCTCAATGAACAACCTAAAAGCAATCATACGCGTCATTCAGTCAAACTGAAGGAGCGACTCGCGGTTGGACGTGTAGATGTGAATCACTATCAGGGCATCACAAACACACCGGACCAAAACCACACTCCAATCACATTAAGGACAGACAGTATATAACAATAATTCTGTCTGACATTTGTCTGCTGAAAAACAAGCGATTGTGTGTGAATAAACGCTCACCCTGCAGCAGGTAGAGAGACAGCAGCAGGTAGAAGACGGCTCTCGATGTCACCTGAATCCACCAGCGGAAGAAAAATGGGAAGAAAACCACTCTGACGATGCCCTTCCGGGTCAGAGAGGTCCACGGGCTCTCGGGCTTCGCTTTAGCAAACGCAGAACCTGACGAATAAAACAGAAGACGAGTTACGAGCCGCGACTGACCTGTGAAACAGACCTGAACGTGACTTGAACAGACACCAAAAACATCAAATACAGGTATGTGTCTCTGACCTCTGACCAGATCCACATCAATCAGGTCCGGCTTCACGTGACCGGTCTTCTTCGGTTTGTTCCGCAGACCCTGCAGACAGACAGAAACTCATCAGACAGACAGACAGACGCTCAACAGACAGACAGACAGACATCAGACAGACAGACAGACGCTCATCAGACAGACAGAAACTCATCAGACAGACAGACAGACGCTCATCAGACAGACAGAAACTCATCAGACAGACAGACAGACGCTCATCAGACGGACAGAAACTCATCAGACAGACAGACAGATGCTCATCAGACTGACAGAAACTCATCACAGATAGACAGACGCTCATCAGACAGACAAACTCATCAGACAGACAGACAGAAACTCATCAGACAGACAGACAGACGCTCATCAGACAGACAGAAACTCATCAGACAGACAGACAGACGCTCATCAGACAGACAGAGAGATGGTCATCAGACAGACAGAGAGACGGTCAACAGACAGACAGAGAGACGCTCATCAGACCGACAGAGACGCTCAACAGACAGACAGAGAGACGCTCATCAGACCGACAGAGAGACGCTCATCAGACCGACAGAGAGACGCTCATCAGACCGACAGAGAGACGCTCAACAGACAGACAGAGAGACGCTCAACAGACAGACAGAGAGACGCTCATCAGACAGACAGACAGACAGACAGGATGACTGACAGGTGCATTTCCATTACACACTTGCACAAAACTTTTGCGACATTTTATAAATGTAAATCAAAAACTACTGCGAAATGATGGCGTTTCCATTTACCGATGTTATGTGACTAAAACGTCATTTTTTCCTCTCGCCACAATTCATGGCAACGGATGTTGGTAGATTCACGTATATTGCAGCCACCGCACTAGCCATTATTTTTAATCAAAGGAGACAGCCGCTTATGAGATGCTTCTGAAACGTGGCGTGGCGCAGCTGGTATAAAAACAAGCATTGAATAGAGTGGCCGGTGGCCGTGTCGGAGCCGTAATGCACATGTACAGTGTAGATAAGGGCTTATCCAAGCATTAATGGCAAGAAAAGCCCTTTATACTTGAGAGCGGCCTTGTATGAAGTGTTTCTTGGAGGTTATAGTACATTAAAGAATGACGTGACCCGTTTCCATTGCAGTTTTGCGATATATTCCTTTTTCGAATTGCCTGAAAAACCACATCATGCGAGCTTAACTTTTTTGCGATATATGGGAGGTTTTGTGAAATTGACGTGTTTCCATTAGGCGTATTTTTCTATTCCCAATTTCAAATGGCACAATTTGAAGGGTAATGGAAACGCAGCTAGTGTCTTCCCTACACAGCAGATCATTCATTCATACTGATGGGGGAAACCATGCATCTCAGCACACACACTTCTCATCATATCAGGTTAATTAAAAAAGATTAACAAGATACATTAGTGAGTTCATGACCATAGTGCAATAAAGACTTTCGGCAGGATCTGAAGCTGCTCTTTCAGTCACACTCACGACAGATTATTAGGGATTTACAACTCGAGTTTATTCATATGAAGATCTCCAAACATCAGTTCACACACAAACACGAGCTTACACCTCTCATGGTGTTTGTGATGCTGTCTATTAAGGGTGCAGTGCTGCGTTTCATGCCCTCATTAGTGTCCTGTTGCACTGGCGCTCATGTAACCAGAGAGCCGTGTAACGCGGCCCGTCTTCTGCTAATAACCAGCAGATATTCACACAGACAGCACTGATCTCAAGATCAGAACCAGCTGCAAACAACACAAACACACAAACGTGTTTCCTGTCCATCCCTGCTAACTTCCTGCGGCTGTTTTCATGGTAAAGCACAGGTTAAAGCCGTGTTGTTGGCGGACGACGCTTTGAGTGACCCAACTCTCTTCTCTAATTCCAATCTTTAACTATTCTATCAAATTAAAGGCAGAAACACCAAAAATATTACCTATAAAATATTACTTTAAAACCGATTCAGGCCTGACATTATTAAAAATCTTTTCAATTTCCTCAAATAATTAAAAGCAGCGCAGTCAACAAATCATGATTTAGAAAAGTTGAATACGAACAGCACGCTCACATACACCGCTGATGGCAGACTAACAGTCATTTCATCAATGATACTTTCCCTGGCAGACTCTGAGAAATAATAACTCTACAGTCAGTCCTGACATGAGAGAAAAATATTATGAAATGGATCGTTCAGATTCTATGCTGATTGGATGAGCTGCATTCAAACCATCGATAAATGCACAACCTGCGACACACATCCTCTGTTATTGTTTTTACTCCGAATATTACAGATGACTTTAAGTCTTCTAGTTACAGGATTTAGCCGCAGTTTTTGTGGATTCAGACCGCTGGTAAAATTACTGTAAAACGGATTGACTGATCAGGATTTGTGCCGAATCAGAGAGATTTATTCCTCGCTGCAGCTCATTCAGAGGATCTGGGCAGAATGAAGCTTGACTCAGACTTTCTGTTGTCTTTATTTTCGTCTGTCTAGCCCTCGTTACGCAAGACATTCGGCCAAACATGAGTCACAGCGCAACCAGTCAAAGCAACACAAACAAACAAACTCAATGCAGATTCACTCTCGAGCTGCTGCCATATTCCAGCCAATGAGAGCCGATCCTGACTACAACGTATAACAGAGCCTCTATTACATCATCATCAGACGCGTGTGTGAGGAGTTTAAGACGTTCAGCTGAATCTCAGTAGATTACAGTAAACCCTGGTGTTACTGATGTGATCTTGTCGGAGTCTGACCATGCTCTCACACAAATACAGGCGTCCAGTCGTGTTAAAAAAACCCACACGCAGCGCCACCTACAGGCTGAGAGCGGCGCCGTACTCACCCGTCTGATAAACTGCTTCGAGTGAAGGGAGACAGAAACATGTTTAAAGGAAGAATGAGCGAATAACACACACATTAACAGACACACACACGCTCTTGCAGAGGCAGAATGAACAGGTGAAAGTCTAATCAAGAGTCGCTGACACGTTACCTTGATCTCTCGCTGTTCCACTGATTTCTCCCATATCTGCTGGTCATACGCACCGATCTGACAGATGAGACACAGACACAGACACAGACAGGTTATACATACAAATCAGTCAGAAATCATCCAAACAGTCAGTCGCCTGTGTTTAAACAGACTCTCTCATTGAGCGTCACTCAATCTCCTGAGACTGGAGAATCGCACTGATTTATCACCTGTCAGTCCAAACACACCCAGAGCTCGTTATGCGTGTTCATTATGTGATGGGACACGTTTAAAGAGGCGGCGGTAATGAATGTTTTCTGGGTTGGAGCGCCGGAGCAGGATGGAGGTCTTGCGGATCGAGTTTCTGGAGATCTGTGGAAACACGAGCGTGAATGGATGCGATGCGCAGCTCTGATTGTTGCCGGGGGCAATAAGTACCGCGACTCTGTGTCGTGTGCACGCTGGAGGTGAAGACGGTGACGCTGGACTGAAGTCACACGGTGGAAAACACTCAATAATTCACGAGTTCAGTCTCATTAAACATACAGCGAGCGCACAACCCTGCAGGAGAACAACCTGTGAGTGTTGCTCTAAGCATCATCTGTTTTGTTGTGATGTTGTCGATTCAGGAAACAGTCACAGGATTCGTCCATAACTTCAGTGAACCCAACTCTAATAAACCCTTCAGCTTCAGTTTGTCAGAGACATCAGAACTCCATCCTCTATCTGTCCAGAACGTCGTCTTCATCATCATCAGTGTCACACACAGACAAACAGAAGCTCAGACACATGAAGTCAATGTGAGGAAACATCAAAAGATCTCAGATCGCTCACCTTCTTCTGGTACCAGAGCACAGCATCACGCACCTTCGACGCCATTTACATGTCAGGAGTCACACGCTGGAGCATTTTAAGCTGAGAGAGAGAGAGAGACGGGAGGAGATCAGACGGAGCTCTGCGGTCTGACGCACTTAAGCTCTTCTTACCTGCAGCACAGGTGTGTCCAACACACACACACACACACACACACACACACACAGAAGTGCAGTCACACACATAGTTGGCATGATTGTTCTGCACACAATATTGTCATAGAGATCAACACTAACAACAAACAATGAGAGAGGAGGAAAAACTACACAGTTACATGTTTTATCTGAAGTGAATGAAATGGCTGGAAACACTGCACAACTTCATTTCCCCTGATTTACAGTCTGCAGAAGCTGACGCTAGTTGCTGAAAGTCAGAGCCAGAGATTTGAGTTGACAGATTTCATAAATTAGTGTCTGATGGTCACAGACTTTTCAGCTTCAGACTCTGATTTAATCCAGTCAGAGGAGATCTTAGAACACGTTGTTTTATTTGTCACGTGTCTCCTAGTAGTTTAGTGTTTCTCCTCTGTGACCGTTTACAAAGTCGGTAAGTTTATCATGCCTAGTGTTTTAAGATCTGTTGAGATTTTAAAAGTCGTGTAGTTTATTGCAGCCTTTAACATCTCATCAGTTCATACAAACACTGAAGTGTTCATGACATCGCTGTTTCTAACGCCATGATCTACAGTTTAAGATACAGGAACTCATCTACTATCTGTCTGATTCATGAGCGCTAGGAACAGACTGACCTCACACACACACACGTTTGTTTGACTGTACTAGTGAGTTCATCTCATAGACTTCCATTGTTTTTCTCTCAGGTTTGATATTTTCTCTATTTATCTCCTGACCGACTCCTAAACAAACCCTCAAAGAAACCCATGCAAAACACTACATTTGCACAGAAACATGATTGGACTGATATCATGAGCCTTTTCAACTAGTTTGTTGTCATGATATTTCACTGTGTAAGTGAAGACATTTTACCCTCACAAATATAGCTCAACGAGTACACACACACACACACACACAGCCAACAACACTAGATTAGCTTCATCTATGAATTACGGGTGTGAAACTGGGTGGTTAGAGCTCTGACACACACACACACACACACCTGATGATGACAGACACTTTCAGTCTGATTTTAGAACTTGATGTTCAAGAAGAGGGTGGAGAGAAAAGCCTCACACACATACACACACTCAGGTTTGTTTTTGTGAAAAGTGGGGACTCTCCATAGGCGTAATGGTTTTTATACTGTACAGACCGTATATTCTATTGCCCTACACCAACCCTACCCCTAAACCTACCCCTTACAGGAAACTTTGTGCTATTTCAGATTTTCAATACACTCCATTCTGTGTGATTTATAAGCGTTTTGAAAAGTGGGGACATGGGGTAATGTCCTGAAAAGTCACCTTCTCCTTGTAATACCTATGTCATACCTTTGTCATCATACAATTTTATGTCCTCATTTGTCACAAAAACGCGCACACACACACACACACACACACACTTTGAATGCACCAACTGAATGCCAATCAGAGAAACTGTGTGTGTGTGTGTGTGTGCGTGAGAGAGAGATATTAAGAGATATAATCTTAAAGTGTCTCTCTCTCTTTCTCTCATGTTGTAATACATCATGGAGTGAACGCTGAGCATTCTGGGAGTTTGTTCAGTCACTGCATTAATGTGATACACACACACATAGATGAGCTTTTTTGACCTGTCCACGTCATCAACAGCAAATTTAGCACAAAGCAGGCAGCAGCAGAACGGGAACATGAAACAGCCTGAAGGAACGCGAGACACACGCCCTCACTAGTGCACACTGAAGAGTGGACAGACCGGTCCTGCGCTCACTAAACACTTTCATTTACATGTGATTTGTGCTCCTGCCAGCCAACACAAACATCATCAACAGCTTTCTGATTTAGGATTCATCCACTGAAAACTGCCAAATATCAATCCTGGATCAATGAAGGCGATCAGTCGACTCAAAGACACACAGATCAATGTGATTCAGAGTCAGATCCCGTCATGCTGTCATTAACGGACGCTTTTACAGCAGCAGCGGCACTTCATTACGCAACAATAAATAAAACCGTTCTAGACAAAACCAGCAGGAAATAAACACACACACACACATACACACACACACGTCCATCTGCTGAGGTGTAACCCAACACATGGCTGTGCATGTTTCATGAAGGAGATGGACAGCAGTGTGTGTGTCACATCTGATACTGTGTGTGTGTCTCTGGAGATCACACTGCAGCGCGCGTGTGTGTGTGTGTGTGTGTGTGTTCTTCACAGGCTAAATAAAGCAGCGCATCTTGCTGCATGCGTCTGTAAGAGGAAACGGTTGCATTTATTCTGTCTCTTAAGCCTCATGCAGAAACGCAACTCAAAACACAAAGACTCACAACTACACACACACACACACACACACACATACACACATAGAGACACCAGAATCTTTCAGTGAGAGATTATTCTTAACCCATCTGGCTAAACGAACCAGTCACTCAGAGAAGATGAAGTCAGGACTCGTTCAGATGCGTCTATGAAACACGAGTGAACAGATGGATGAGATGAAGAGCGCTGTCAGGAAACTCTTTGATCTCTGGATAGACGTGAAGCTATTCATGGAACAAACAAACCTGCAGAAGCCGCAGCGCTTGACGCTCCAGACACTCACAGAGCTCAGGGTTAAAAACAGACACACACACACACACACACACACACTCGATTCAGTCCAGACACATTCGCACTCATATTTCAGTCCATCACACACAGGTGTAAGAGAACGTTTCAGAAACGCTCCACTCAGACTGAATAAAAAACTTATTTGACAAAAGAAACACTTCACTCTGAAGAACTTACGGAGAATCTGATGGAGCGCTGCTGCAGGCCGAGCGACCGACACGAGCGAGAACACAACACCGACTTAAGGTCAGAGCTGACACACAGCTGCGGAGAGAGAGAGAGAGACATGAGAGAGAGAGAGAGAGAGACATGAGAGAGAGAGAGAGAGAGACATGAGAGAGAGAGAGAGAGAGACATGAGAGAGAGAGAGAGAGAGACATGAGAGAGAGAGAGAGAGAGACATGAGAGAGAGAGAGAGAGACAGAGAGAGAGAGACGAGAGAGGAGAATCAAACGTGTGTTTGCATACAAGAGAACAAACACTGAACTACTGACATCATGTGTATCACAGACTATGTGTTTTTTCATACAATCAGTCAGGCCTCTCACTAACCGACTCACTGAAGGTGTGTGTGTGTGTGTGTGTGTGTGTGTAGATGCTCCTCATCAAACCCAAACACACACACACACACACACACATTCAGTCCCGGGCCGCTCACACACATCTGGACAGGTTCACTGAAGAACTGAATGTTTTGTGTTATAACTGGTCTGTTCATGTCAGCGGTGGGATTTTAGGATGTTTGTCTGATCAGATCAACAAAAGCAATGATTGCAGATCAGCATCAGGTGAGTGTGATCTGCTGCTGATTGAGTGAAAGGGCTTTATACTTAAATACAGAAACACAAGTGTGTATCTGTGTGGAACCTGAGCGCGTTACCATCCGTTTATAAATAACAGTGTGTGAGTGAGTGTGTGTGTGAGAGAGAGAGAGAGAGATTTCCCTTATTTTATTTTTATTTGTAGTTTATATACTTACATTAATAATTCATTTTGCACTACATGCTTAATACTTTTTATATATTATTATTATTACTATTATTATTTTTCTTTCTGTTAATACATATGTGCACTATTTGTAAGCAGTCCAGCTGCAATTTTTGTCATGCCAATAAAGCACTCTTAAATTGAAATTGAGAGAGAGAGTCTAACTGACTGTATTGTGTGTTAATGTGTGTGTGAGTATGTGTTTGTCTGTCTGTACGTGCGTGTGTCTGACTGTATCGTGTGTTAGAGTGTGTGTGTGTGAGAGACCGTATCGTGTGTTAGTGTGTGTGTGTGTTAGTGTGTGAGACTGTATCGTGTGTTAGTGTGTGTGTGTGTTAGTATGTGAGACTGTATCGTGTTATTGTGACTATCGTGTGTTAGTGTTAGTGTGTGTGTGTTAGTGTGTGAGACTGTATCGTGCGTGTGTGTGAGACTATCGTGTGTTAGTGTGTGTGTGTTAGTGTGTGAGACTATCGTGTTAGTGTGACTGTATCGTGTGTTAGTGTGTGTGTGTGACTGTATCGTGTTAGTGTGTGTGTGAGACTGTATTGTGTTAGTGTGTGTGACTGTATTGTGTGTTATTGTGTGTGTGTGACTGTATCATGTTAGTGTGTGTGTGTGAGACTGTATCGTGTGTTAGTGTGACTGTATCGTGTTAGTGTGTGTGTGTGACTGTATCGTGCTGTATCGTGTGTTATTGTGTGTGTGACTGTATCGTGTGTTGTAGTGTGTGTGTGTGTGACTGTATCATGTTAGTGTGTGTGTGAGAGACTGTATTGTGTGTTAGTGTGTTATTGTGTGTGTGTGTGACTGTATCGTGTGTTATTGTGTGTGTGTGACTGTATCGTGTGTTAGTGTGTGTGTGTGACTGTATCGTGTTAGTGTGTGTGTGTGTGTGTGTGTGGCTGTATCGTGTGTTATTGTGTGTGTGACTGTATCGTGTGTTGTTGTGTGTGTGTGTGTGTGTATCGTGTGTTAGTGTCTGTGTCGTGTGTTGTTGTGTGTGTGTGTGTGTGTGTGTGACTGTATCGTGTGTTGTGTGTGTGTGACTGTATCGTGTGTTGTTGTGTGTGTGTGACTGTATCGTGTTAGTGTGTGTGTGTGTGAGACTGTATCGTGTTAGTGTGACTGTATCGTGTGTTAGTGTGTGTGTGTGTGACTGTATCGTGTTAGTGTGTGTGTGAGAGACTGTATTGTGTGTTAGTGTGTTATTGTGTGTGTGTGTGTGTGTGTGAGTGTGTGTGTGTGTGTGTGTGAGTGTGTGTGTGTGTGTGTGTGAGTGTGTGTGTGTGTGTGTGTGAGTGTGTGTGTGTGTGTGTGTGAGTGTGTGTGTGTGTGTGTGTGAGTGTGTGTGTGTGTGTGTGTGAGTGTGTGTGTGTGTGTGTGTGAGTGTGTGTGTGTGTGTGTGTGAGTGTGTGTGTGTGTGTGTGTGAGTGTGTGTGTGTGTGTGTGTGAGTGTGTGTGTGTGTGTGTGTGAGTGTGTGTGTGTGTGTGTGTGAGTGTGTGTGTGTGTGTGTGTGAGTGTGTGTGTGTGTGTGTGTGAGTGTGTGTGTGTGTGTGTGTGAGTGTGTGTGTGTGTGTGTGTGAGTGTGTGTGTGTGTGTGTGTGAGTGTGTGTGTGTGTGTGTGTGAGTGTGTGTGTGTGTGTGTGTGAGTGTGTGTGTGTGTGTGTGTGAGTGTGTGTGTGTGTGTGTGTGAGTGTGTGTGTGTGTGTGTGTGAGTGTGTGTGTGTGTGTGTGTGAGTGTGTGTGTGTGTGTGTGTGAGTGTGTGTGTGTGTGTGTGTGAGTGTGTGTGTGTGTGTGTGTGAGTGTGTGTGTGTGTGTGTGTGAGTGTGTGTGTGTGTGTGTGTGAGTGTGTGTGTGTGTGTGTGTGAGTGTGTGTGTGTGTGTGTGTGAGTGTGTGTGTGTGTGTGTGTGAGTGTGTGTGTGTGTGTGTGTGAGTGTGTGTGTGTGTGTGTGTGAGTGTGTGTGTGTGTGTGTGTGAGTGTGTGTGTGTGTGTGTGTGAGTGTGTGTGTGTGTGTGTGTGAGTGTGTGTGTGTGTGTGTGTGAGTGTGTGTGTGTGTGTGTGTGAGTGTGTGTGTGTGTGTGTGTGAGTGTGTGTGTGTGTGTGTGTGAGTGTGTGTGTGTGTGTGTGTGAGTGTGTGTGTGTGTGTGTGTGAGTGTGTGTGTGTGTGTGTGTGAGTGTGTGTGTGTGTGTGTGTGAGTGTGTGTGTGTGTGTGTGTGAGTGTGTGTGTGTGTGTGTGTGAGTGTGTGTGTGTGTGTGTGTGAGTGTGTGTGTGTGTGTGTGTGAGTGTGTGTGTGTGTGTGTGTGAGTGTGTGTGTGTGTGTGTGTGAGTGTGTGTGTGTGTGTGTGTGAGTGTGTGTGTGTGTGTGTGTGAGTGTGTGTGTGTGTGTGTGTGAGTGTGTGTGTGTGTGTGTGTGAGTGTGTGTGTGTGTGTGTGTGAGTGTGTGTGTGTGTGTGTGTGAGTGTGTGTGTGTGTGTGTGTGAGTGTGTGTGTGTGTGTGTGTGAGTGTGTGTGTGTGTGTGTGTGAGTGTGTGTGTGTGTGTGTGTGAGTGTGTGTGTGTGTGTGTGTGAGTGTGTGTGTGTGTGTGTGTGAGTGTGTGTGTGTGTGTGTGTGAGTGTGTGTGTGTGTGTGTGTGAGTGTGTGTGTGTGTGTGTGTGAGTGTGTGTGTGTGTGTGTGTGAGTGTGTGTGTGTGTGTGTGTGAGTGTGTGTGTGTGTGTGTGTGAGTGTGTGTGTGTGTGTGTGTGAGTGTGTGTGTGTGTGTGTGTGAGTGTGTGTGTGTGTGTGTGTGAGTGTGTGTGTGTGTGTGTGTGAGTGTGTGTGTGTGTGTGTGTGAGTGTGTGTGTGTGTGTGTGTGAGTGTGTGTGTGTGTGTGTGTGAGTGTGTGTGTGTGTGTGTGTGAGTGTGTGTGTGTGTGTGTGTGAGTGTGTGTGTGTGTGTGTGTGAGTGTGTGTGTGTGTGTGTGTGAGTGTGTGTGTGTGTGTGTGTGAGTGTGTGTGTGTGTGTGTGTGAGTGTGTGTGTGTGTGTGTGTGAGTGTGTGTGTGTGTGTGTGTGAGTGTGTGTGTGTGTGTGTGTGAGTGTGTGTGTGTGTGTGTGTGACTATCGTGTGTTGTTGTGTGTGTGTGTGACTGTATCGTGTGTTAGTGTGTGTGTGTGTGTGACTGTATCATGTTAGTGTGTGTGTGAGAGACTGTATTGTGTGTTAGTGTGTTATTGTGTGTGTGTGTGACTGTATCGTGTGTTATTGTGTGTGTGTGACTGTATCGTGTGTTAGTGTGTGTGTGTGAGACTGTATCGTGTGTTGTTGTGTGTGTGTGTGTGTGTTTGTGGCTTAGGGTTTCAGTGCCTGGGAGCCATAAGCCCCAGATATGGAGCGGCTAGTCAAGACAGGAAACATGGAGCTCTGTGATTGTATGTGAGGCTGGGTTT